TTAACAACATATACTTACTACAGTGTTGGGGTTTGGTTTAGTTGCTTGTAATCATGCATAATTCAATCCTAATGCAAAAATAGGACCATCTTTCCAACGTCTTCAGCTAGGTTAATTCAAATTGTTTTGAAAGGTTAAATAAATAGATATAGTTAGCATCTTTCAGACATAAACAAATGATATACACATCGATCGGTCTGCACTCTGATTTAAAGGCACTATAAATCATCTTCGCCTGCTGAGATGCTTGAAATACTTCCGCATCAGAGAAAAGCAACAGACCTGTTTCAGATGCTTCCTCTGATTCCTCAGAATCGCTTCTTTCTTTTCAAAATCCAGTCAACATAACTCCCGTATGTATAATATCATATCCGGACATTGCTGGTGATTGAAGACATCCGATCTTTGCTTTTAGGCGATGAAACAGCCGAAAGGTCGAGATCAGCAGCGGCGCACAGCGAATCCACGTCACCTTAAAAAATAAAAACACCCTTACTGAGATCTTCCGGGGTGGGCGGGGCTACAGCGCAACACCTGCACCTGCTCCGACAAGTCTCTGCAACATTAATCCACAGCTTTAAGTGTGGTTTCAATAAAATACACCGTTTATCATGAGTTTTAAGAAGAAAAATTCCTTCGCTCTCGTTGATGTCTTACCAGTCCTGACTAATCGATCGAGTTGCACGTTCTGTTGTTCTTCCTTATGAAGTCTGAACTAGACAATTTTGAGAAATCGATTCCATCGTCTACCACAGGAATTCGATTATTTATGCCTGTACTAGAATCCGCGCGAAATTGACGACGCTTTGTGGCGCGGTTGTGTTTATGTGTGTGATTGTAAGCGAGACGCGAAAACATTTTATTGGTAAGTTTTCTTTTATTTCTGCATGTTATAGTTTGTAAACCTTTGGTACAGATATTTGGTACATCAGACGCGTGAGGGTTTTTAAGCTTTATTTTGGAAGCCTGTTTTTCTTCGTTCTTTACCATTCACACTGATGTATGAGCTGCTCCGTGTTTGTCTTTACTAATTTACTGTTAACTGTGTTGGCGAAAACTTATTATTGCATCTAATAATTTATTTCTATCCTTTCAGATTTCTGATAATAACAGTTCATCACTATGGGTATTCATGGACTTGCAAAGCTCATTGCAGATCACGCGCCTTCATCTATCAAGGAACAGGACATCAAAAACTACTTTGGTAAGGCCTTCTATCATTTAAATAATATTTCTTGGATGATTGTTACAGTGAAACTCAAATATAGCATATCTGAGTGCTTGCATCTTATATTTGTTTTTTTCTTGCATGCAGGAAGGAAAATTGCTATTGATGCGTCCATGTGCATCTACCAGTTTTTGATCGCGGTCAGACAGGACGGTAATGTGTTGCAGAATGAAGATGGAGAGACCACTAGGTATGTAGAGTTGTCTATTATCATTTGTCCAAGTCTGCAAGGAAACATGATAAGCTGATTGAGTTTGAAGCATATACTTTGAGTTTCTCACCATGTGCCACTTTACATTTGCATGGTCATAATATTTATGCAACCTTCTTGTCTCCCCAGCCACCTCATGGGCATGTTCTACAGGACCATCCGAATGCTGGAGAGTGGCATCAAGCCGGTTTATGTGTTTGATGGAAAGCCCCCTCAGCTGAAGTCAGGAGAGGTGCGTCAGAAACACCGTCACTAATGGAATATTCTCAATTGAAACAACCAATGAGTTGGACCTGGAAACAGTATTCCTTACTTCACAACTTAAGTGGATATCATTTTACATGTACAGTTAAAAAAAAAGGGCAGATAGGCCACAAATTCACCTTAAAAATATTGAGGCAGTAGTATTTACAGTATTACAGGATGGCATATTGGTGCTTGTATACTTTGCAACTTATAACCATATGATTAATTTAGTGATGTAGTGTTAATATACCAAGCTCCTTAAACTACCAAAATCTGCCTTTTACCGTAAACTGTACTTATAACCACCATAATAATACAGTTGGTGTAATAGAAAGCCACATGATGAATCAGTTTGTCGTAAGTGGCCTGTCCATAAAACATGACCTTGTATATCAGACAGTGACACTAAAATGAACATTAAAGGCAGGGTATGTGATTTTTTCAAAAACACTTTAGAAAACT